AATCAGACGTGAAATACGTACCTAAATCCGTTAAGATTGTTTTAGGGAAGCCGAAGAGAGACATAAAATGTACCAGATTTCTGGCTACTTCTTCACTGGTAGCTGTAATCAGGGAATAAGCACTTGAAAATTTAGTTAAATCATCTCGTAATGTAAGGATAAATTTGAATTTTTGAAAACCTGCGTCAGGTAAAGGATCAACGATGTCGAGAGCTAATCGTTCAAACGGTCTAGTAGAAGTAGAAGTTATTTCCATTGAGGCCTTATTGAACATTCGCAATGGTTTATTAATTTGGCATGATTGGCATTTCTTTACATAATCTACAATATCAGAGCGAATACCTTTCCAATAATAGGTGGCTTTAATTCATCTATACATACGACTTAAACCTGGGTAACCCGCAATAGGTGAATCGTGATTCTCTTTTAAATTTTAGGGATTTCAACGGGAGTAGGATAAATTAACTGATTTTTGTATTTATGACTTTTAATGTTAGTGTTATGAAAAATATAGGCAATCATATTATATACTTTAATGTAAGCTATCTTAGAAAATGGATCTGAAAAGTCTGATATGGCGAGATCTGTAATATCGGAATTCTCGATAAAAATTTTATCTGTGAGTTTTATCATTAAATTGTAAATATCCTTAAATTTAGTTTCTCCTTAATGATGAACTTTAGTGTACATAAAATAGTAAGATTTATTCTTATCCTTTACGCATTGAATTGTGAATGGTTCACGTTCGGAATTTAAGTTTACAGGCTTGTCTAATTGCGCTAATATTTCTTTACAGTGAGGTAAAGATGAGTCAAAATCTAAAGAGACGGGACACGTAATCGTTTTTAATTTAGATATATCCTTGAGTGCATTTTAAGATTATTGTATTTGTAATCGGAGTTTTATTAGTAAATTGGTCTTTAAAATATTTTTCATAACTGGAATTATTTAAAGTGTTAATATATATAACATTAACGGGACAACGAGATAGCATCAGCGTTAGAATTAAGACGGCCTTGTTTATAAATAATTTCGTAGTCGTATTCTTCGAGTTTTAAGCGCCAACGAATGAGTCTACTACCTGGGTCTTTGACATTGAATAGCCATACCAATGGTCTATGATCGGTAACTATTTTGAATTTATTACCGTAGAGGTAAGGACGAAATGTTTTGACTGCGAATAGAATTGCTAAAAGTTATTTTTCGGTAGTTGAATAATTGCCTTCGGGACGGTTTACTATTCTCTACTTTCTTTTGCCAGAAGCGTCTCATTTCTTCGGGACTACCCATACAGGGCCGGTTCAAGGCGGAACAGAGGGGCGAATTATGTTCTGATTTAGCATTTTGCGAACTTGTGTATCGACTTCTTAATTGTAATACTCGGGGAAACGATATGATTTTACGTGAACTGGGGTCGCGTTACCCGTATCTATGGAATGTTGGATGCCATTCGTAAACGAAAGGGGTTCACCTTCGAGGTGAAAGATATCCGTATAATCGGAAAAGCAATTTAAAAGTGCTTTCTTTTCTTCACCGTTGAGATGAGAGCAGCGTAAAAGACTTAGTACTCGATCGATGTCAATTCTAAGAAATAATCTTTAATTTCTAAGTCTGTGTGTCGTGTTTAAAACGGTGATGTTAACTTTTTTGTTCGGTGTTATTGATACAATACAATTCGCGACGTAAATTCTCTTTGCTTAAGGTATGATTTAAAACTAAGCCGACATTTTATATTGTCATTTTATTAACGACGTACCCGAACGATGTACGTCATATAATGGGAACTTGGTAACCGCACAGAGTCATTGTCTTAGAGCTATAATCTATTTTAGCATTAAAATATTTAAGAAAATTGGTATAAATAATGCCGTCGTAATTAAGATTTATATTATCGTTAATAACATAAAAGGAGAATGCCCATTAATGTATGGAATCCCGTACCATGTTGCATCAAAATCAAACTTTGTTTTCTATGAACTACACTGATCATATTAAATCCTACAAAAGTTATTTTTTATACAAAAACCCGGATTTTGAGTTATTTTATAAAATCGAAAATAACCTAAAAACTAGGTCTATTTTTTCGACACTACCAAAACCAATTTTAAATAGACACGTTCAACACAGACAAACTTTATGGCTCTAAAAACAGCGTTATCCACTAATATCAGTAAGAATTAAGAGTAATATCAACATATAGCCGTGCTACAGGATGCGTGACTGAAACTCGAAGATTTGCGCGTTTTTTTTTTTTGTTTTTGCGCCCAGAAGCAATGAAAAGGGCTACCCTCCGGGAAGCGGGAAGGGAGGTGGTGAATGCTCTAAGCATACCACGACAGCCAGCTGCGTGGTTATGTGGGACTCACTGCGAAACCTAAGTGCCTACCCACTAAACACCACCTGTGAGACTGCTTGCTCGAGGCTTGTGTCGGCTTTGAGGAGGCCTATAATCAGCTGTGGACTTGTGAGGGGCTGTAATGATGATTACTGTGATTACACTACCAAACTAATATCAATATAACATAATCATAAGGGTGACCAGACTGAAAAACACGCTCATGGAGTCTAGAGAGCGTCTTGAACAATAACCCTTTAATAATCTTAAAATACTATTCATGACAGATACTATTACTCATGGACATATTATTGTCGTAAATTAATTAAATAAGGGATAGAAAAAATAAAACAAACAAGTTCATTTTTAATAATAGCTTTTGCCGAAAAGTCAAATGTTTTAAGTAAATGTATATTATTGAATAAAACTATTTTTACGGATTTTATCGCGTTTAATTAACTTATTTTATATTCCCGACGTTTCGGTTGCTTTCCAGCTGTTTTTCGGTTGCTTTTAACTATGTCTTGAGGTCTTTCAGTGGTATGCTTGATACGTAAAAGGATGATACGTGAGGCTATTGAAATTAAAAAACATCCTAATTTCAATAGAGAGGGAGGCTGGGTACTACCACCTGCTTGGGATTATGTAATTCATAAAATTAAAACTAAACCCAAGCATACCACTGCAAAACTTCAAGACACTATCGTTCAACTATCATTCTGTGTAAATCGGACTAAAATTATTAATTAAAAAATCTGAAGGTACTCCGGTTTAACTCTGACATCGGGACGTCAATCACCTACCTCAGTCCCCAGTGACCACGGTTGCTGGAAAACAACCGAATCGTCGGGAATATAAAATAAGTTAATAAAACGCGATAAAATCCGTAAAAATAGTTTTATTCAATGTGTAGTGTTCGTGTAAATATAAGAAATCAAAATGTATATTAAATAAAATATTTTATATTTTATTTAATATACATTTACTTAAATCATTCATTCATCATACTCCTGAAAAAAATTATCTAAAGCCGATGCCGGCGCAGTTACGTCATTATACCGTCCCCAGCTCAAATACCACACTATCGTCATTATATGAGCACAGCAGCCTACTGTTCGCTTACCGATGAGGCAGCTGCAGCAATAGCCTACTATGGTATCTAATGTGTTAGCCACAGCATCATCTCTGCTAATCAATAAATACGTGTGATAAGTACGACTGTTGACATGTCTAGATTTAATCCTACCTCTTAAGAGATAATTATTAAGCCCTAATATCAAAGGTACATCATCATCAAGAGTATTATTCACCTCAATTGAATAAATAACAGTCTGACGGATGTGTTCCCCATAATAAGATGTAGCCTGTTTGAGTTGGTAGGTCCCAAGAGCTAACCGTTTTAAATCAGTTATTGTCAATTGAGGAAATCTATCTAAATGTGGATTATTGCTGTTAATCATCTGAAAATTCACTCTCCTTCTATTGAGATTTGCCTGTTCAGCATAAGTTGCTAAATGGTTCTCTAGTGAAAGCCTATCTTTAGCAATTCTTACATATTCCAAGGCTTCAGGTGGGTTTTCTATAACAACATGAAACTTATTAATTAGGGCACAAGAGATTCTAAAATCATTCTTTAGGTGCAAAGCCGCTCTATTGTTAAAAACATGACGAAAGAGTCTAAAATCCCTTTTCACCCTCCCATTAACCACTTCTACAACCCAGCGGCACATAGTAAAAAAACGAGATCGATTTGCCTGCTGGGTTGTTAATTGATGCTCATTCTCAAGTAGAGACTCTGGCATATGTGCTACAAAGCCATACCTTTGGAGTTCATTAATTACATCCCTAAATCCTCTATCAAGGATGAAAATGTCACCCCTTCGGAAAAATGATCTTAAACAAGATTCCTCATTACATAAGTTTAAACTTGTAATCGAAGCATCATTAGTGGTCGCCTTGTATGGCCCGAGGCAATCCACAATATGACCATCACAAGAAACTATCATAAATGGTTTGACCAAATTATCCAATTTTTGCAAACTGTATGTTTGTTTTTGAAATAAGTAATTAGAACTACTTTGGATAAATACATAAGTAGCATCACATATGACTATTGCTGGTTTAGAATTAGGTGGCAAATCAGGATTACCAAATAATCCTTCTGGTATTATTCTATTTCTAGAAGCAACATCTTCAACAGTCATATGATTAAATCCTAAGTATAATGGAACAAACTCATTAATTAAACACTCTCTGGCCTTATTCATTAAGCGTTCTAAGGTGACACGAGATTTATTAAAGAGAGTTGCCATCCTTTCATTACTATCCCCAGTTCTCAGCTTAACTAAGTAAATACTTAAAGCAATCGTGGCATTTGGTACTTGTCCTGCTAGACTTGGGATACAGTTTAACAAATCATAAAACTGATCAGAGTTCATGCCAAGCCAAAACTGACACAAATATGCAGGCATAATTAAAATATTTGAGAAATCTATATGGTAATAGGCAGCTCGCTGCATCATATTCATAATTGTGTCGAATTGACTACCGGTAAAATCTCTTAACTGGGAAGATAATTCGCTCCAACGGCCATGATTCAGGTGGTGACGACAGATTCGTGCTGCCGGTGGCACATACAATTTATAATTAAGTAATAACAGATTCTTTATATATATATAAAGAATCTGATATTAGATATAGATGAGGGTATCAGTAAACGTTCTGTTTCAAAACAATTAACAAATATACAGTGATTGGATGTGCTAGCGGCACGCTTATACGTAGAAGATATAATTGTTGAATTTGATCTAACTTGGTGTGTAGTGTGTAGTGTAACAGTGTGTAGGTTTTGTTGTGGAAGAGGGGGTGGCTCAGGAATATTGAGATCCCCACTTGGTCCAGCATCTGACAGACCAGGGCGATTGGAGTCGTGCTGATCATGACGTTGCACTTCTCTTACAGCTGATCTCCAGCAAGCAGCACATACTCTTTCCAATCTTGAGATCTAAAAAATAACATGATTAAACATGTAATACAAAATATTTCACAATAGGTTATAAGCTTGATAAATGTTTGTGATGTAACTGTTAGGAACATATGATAATGGTCGGGCAATAATTGTGTCAAAAGAGATAATATTATCTAATACCTACAACATTATTTATTTGTGAAAGCTTCACTTATCGGGACTCAATATAATAAACACATCTAATAATAGTATTATCACAATCAACTATAGAAGATTGGAAAAAAGTAGAACATTAAAAAGAATTTGATTTTTTTTTATATAGCAACATAAATAAAAATATTTACCAAATGCAGCGGAACACGTCTAACTAAAATGTTTCTCTCTTGTCGATCTTGTCTTACAGGATATGTTCTAGTTGCACGTAGAATAGAATTGCCACAAGAAAAACATAATTTTCTATGACCAAAAGCAGGCAATCCTTCACTGATTGTGTTTGCTCTATCTTGAAGCAGTGTCAAACACTCTGTACAAAGTACGCATTCTGAAGACAACTGCAATAAAAACCATGACTAAAAAAGTGTGTAAATACACCTTGTGGCGTTATCTATCATCTGTAACATATTCACAGAAGTTACACCTGTATGTAATCAAGGGCAAAGCCTTTTTTGACCTCAAACAGGTTCAATCTTTGTTATTTTTTGTGCAAGTCTAAAATAAATATTTCTTTCATTCTATAAAAATGTTTTGTAAGATGGTGGAGATGTGACATCCTTAGATATTCAGAGTAAAATAAAATCTGCTTACCTGAGTAGGAGTTATCCACGACTGTAACAAGTTAATCATTGGAGTAGACGCTTATTCTAATGAATGTGTACGTAGGTTTCTGGGTATCAAAAATGAACAATTGATACATCGTTGGTTTTGCCGGGTGACTGACGGTATCAATTGGTCAACCCCACGACTCGACATATTTGTACAATTAAATACACAGAAAAAGTTTACAAAATACAACAAGTTTTACTTCTCAACATACAAAAATACATGCGGTCGTATTTGCTACCGCATACGCAAAGTTACTGTTACTGCGTCATTACAAATGTCAGAGTCTGACAGTCAGACCCGGAAACGGTAACTATAAACCATAAACTAGGCATGTCGATTCGAAAAATCGATTATTTAGTGTACTATTATCAATTTTCAGATCGATGTGGGACAGTACATCGATTCGATGAATCGATCCAAAAACCTCGCGAATCGTTCTGATTCACGAACTAGTGATAAAGTACATAAATTGGTTGCAATGTATTACCTTTTTAATTTGTATGCTGTAGTCGGACGCAAAAACAACCGGTCGTACTTGGTGGTTAATTTGAACACATAAAATAAATATTTATGAGCTAATTATGGATGTCGCCGCCGGAGGACCCAAAAACAACCAAAGTTACTTTCATTAAACTTAAATTAAAAGATATTACAAGTAAAAATAACTAATACTAATTAAATCTAATTATACCAACACCCCGTTCGATGTTAGAAACGAAGTGTAGTGGCATCATGGAGTTTCGTATATATAATGCTGGCAGGTGACGCCGCGGGCGTCACTGTGAATCCACGGCAGCTACATTTCCCATCAGGTTAGCAGAATTGCCTCGCTGCATAAGGTTTCTGATAAAGGTGCTATGTCGGTTGACATCGCGTGCGTCATTGTGAGTCCACGGCGACCGAGTTTCCATCAAGTCAGCGAAACTGCCTCGTGGAAGCGATGTTGAAATGTTGTGTGGGAAAATGAGGTAGCCGCGTAGTTCGCGGTTTTGTAAGGGACATCCATATATCTAACAAGTTCATCCAAAGAAGTTGTTACTTACATTCATCATCATCATCATCATCATTACAGCCCTTCACAAGTCCACTGCTGAACATAGGCCTCCCCCAAAGAATGCCACAAAGCACGGTCCTGAGCCACCTGCATCCATCGACTTCCTGCATGTCTTACCAGGTCGTCACTCCATCTCGTGGGGGGACGCCCTACACTTCCCCTACCGGTACGAGGCTGCCACTCGAGAACCTTTCTTCCCCATCGGTTGTCGGTTCTTCGAGCTATATGGCCGGCCCACTGCCACTTCAGCTTACTAATCCGTTGGGCTATGTCGGTTACTCTGGTTCTACTGCGGATATCCTCATTCCTAAGTTTATCACGCAGAGAAACTCCGAGCATAGCCCTCTCCATAGCTCGCTGAGCGACCTTGAGCTTCCTCATACGGCCAGCAATGAAGGACCACGTCTCAGTTCCATAAGTCATCACTGGCAACACGCACTGGTTGTACAATTTCGTTTTCAGGTTTTGCGGTATGTCTGACGAGAAGATGTGTCGTAGCTTCCCGAACGCTGCCCAGCCGAGTTGAATCCGTCGATTGACCTCTCGATCGAAGTTGGACTTACCTAGTCGGACTATTTGTCCCAGGTAAACATACTCGTCAACAACTTCGAGCTTAGTGCTCCCAACAACTACCGGCATAGGTGTGACATGGACATTGAACATGATCTTTGTTTTGTCCATGTTCATCTTAAGACCTATCCTTTGGGAAACACTATCGAGGTCATTGAGCATAGTGCTTAGGTCCTCCAGCGATTCTGCCATAAGGACTATATCGTCGGCAAATCGAAGGTGAGTGATGTACTCGCCATTGATGTTGATACCGTATCCTTTCCAGTCCAGAAGCTTGAAAACGTCTTCCAATGCAGCGGTGAAGAGTTTCGGGGATATGACGTCACCCTGTCTTACACCTCTCTGCAATTGGATAGGTTTCGTACTCTGGTTCTGTACTCGGATAGCCATCGTAGCCCTACTGTACAAGCACTTCAACACTTCGATATACCGACAGTCAACTTGGCACCGCTGAAGGGACTGCAGCACCGCCCAAATTTCGATGGAATCAAAGGCTTTCTCATAGTCCACATACGCCAGACATAGTGGCAAATTGTACTCTTCGGACTTCTGTACAATTTGCCGAAGGGTATGTATGTGGTCTATGGTGCTAAAGCCCTTTCGGAAACCGGCTTGTTCGGGAGGCTGGAAGTCGTCAAGTCTGCGCGCGAGACGATTCGTAATGACTCTCGAAAACAGCACGTAGACGCGGCTCAGCAGGGAAATCGGTCTGTAGTTCTTCAAGAGAGCGTTGTCGCCTTTCTTGAAGAACAAGACCACCGCACTTCTGCTCCACACCTCCGGTGTAATGCCACCATGGAGGACGGAATTAAAGAGCTTCTGAAGGACTTCAAGTACCGGTCTTCCACCCGCTTTCAGAAGCTCCGCTGTAATTCCATCCTCGCCTGGGGCCTTACCGTTTTTAAGGTGCTGGAGAGCCATTCTAATCTCGCTCAGACTGACCTCCGGGATATCTTCGGAATAGTGTCGGATGAGACTCGCTCTTGGATCGTTACTCACACTTGCGTGTGGCTCCAACGATGACGTGTACAGCTGCCCATAGAACCTCTCAATCTCACTCAAAATCTCAGGTGTCCCGGAAACGATGCTGCCACATTCTGTCTTCAGCTTTGACAGGTGGCTCTTTCTGGCAGACAGATCTCCGGCAAAGACTTTGGAGCCTTGGTCCCGCTCGATCGCTTCTTCAATACGAGCTGTATTGAAGTTGCGTAAGTCCCGCCGCATGCATTTGGAGATCTGTCTGTTCAGATGCCTGTATGCTGTCAAGTCTGTTGAAGAATGTAGCTTCATCTCCCGTCTAACAGCCATGAGATTAAGAGTGTGATCGGAGAGTTTTTGTGTTCTTCTGCGGTGGGTCTTGCAGAACTTAGCTCCGACCGCATTGACAGTTTCCACGAGCTTGTCATTCATATCGTCCACTTCATTGCAGTCTTCTAGGCACTGAAAACGGTTTTGTAACTCGAGCTGAAAGGTTTCGGGACTTTGGAACAGAGCACGAGGGGGACGGAGCGTTGACTTCATTAGACGAGACCTCTCCAACTTAACGTTTAGGTTCAGTGTGCCTCTAACCATTCGGTGATCGCTACCAGTTTTCACCCTCGCGATCACGGAGACATCACTGAACAATTGTCGTCTGGTCGTCATAATGAAGTCAATCTCATTTTTTGTCGAACCATCGGGGCTCGACCAGGTCCACTTCCTGTGGGGCCGCTTCTGGAAGAAAGAGTTCATCATAAACAGTCCCTCTTTCTCCATGAAGTCGGCCAGCTGCTGGCCCCTTGGGTTCCGTTGCCCTATTCCAAATTTCCCTACTTTCAGCTCACCGTTCTCTCTTGTGCCTAGTTTTGCATTGAAGTCTCCCATTAACACCGTATATTGGGTTTTGGAGGAATGCATGGCTCTAGAGATATCCTCATACATTTCCTCCACCTCTCTATCGGGGTGTGCCGAGGTTGGTGCGTAAACCTGTATGACCTTCAGCGAATACCGTTTGGTGATTCTGAGTATAAGGTACGCAACCCTCGTCGACACACTCCCGATCTTTACAACGTTGTTAACGAGAGACTTGTGGACGATAAATCCGACACCTCCTTGGGACAGATGGTCGCCCTCCCGGTGATAGAGCAAGTTGCCGGATTCGAGGATTACCGTGTCCTCCCCCTCTCTTCGGACTTCGGATAATCCTATAATATGCCAGCGCAACTTGTCTATCTCTTCTTCCAGCTCCACGATCTTCTCGTCAGTCCTCAGGGTGCGTGCGTTGTACGTTGCCAGGTCGAGTCGTCTAAGGTGGCAACCGAACCTCCACCGGAGATTCTTAGCACCCCCTGCCCCGCCGTTACCATGGTCGCCACCGTAGCCAGGAATAGCGGGGCCGCCGGGGACTGGGGGCCGTCTCTTTGTTACATTCATAGGGGGGTATTTGCCATAGTTGCCACGCTTGGCGAGCGGGTTGGCAACCGCAGTTTTTTTACTGTCATTTTGGCTATTATCAGGAAGATGCTGCTGCCCATCTCCTGCCTGTTTCCCTTTGTCGCCTTTTACGACACCCACGGGAGGATATGGGGTAGTGGTATTCTTGACCGCCACTACACGGCTTGTTACTTACATTACTTACTAATAATAAAAAAGTTGTCATTGTTATTTCTAATCTAACCCGTGGATACCAGCCTCTAAACTTATCTGTGCTTTTTATATACTTATCTATCAAAGGAGTTTTGACGGGAACTTGACCGGCTGATTGCTGTTCCTGTATTATTATTTAAATAATGGTTTCAAGTGGATTTTGTTATGTTAAAGTGGTTCGAATCTGCATATTAAATGTCTGCGCATATGAACTATTAGCGATAACGGTGCAACAAGTGCTTCGATGATGATGTGAATCTCAAAATAAGGCGTCTGCCTGCTTAAGCACCTTGAAATACTATTACCAACTATCTGCTGGCTCAAGTGGTCGTCAAAATCTCCTGAAATCTACGCGATGTGGTGAATCAACATGTTGTGAAGCAGTGTACTATAAAAGATCACTTGATACTAAAATAAATGAAAACATAGCTTAAAGGACAACAAGCATCCAAGCCAAAAATCTAATTTTGTTTACGGGTCGCAAAAATTAGAAACGCCCCGTATTACGGGTGTTGCACCTCGTGTACGGGGTGTGTCTATGACCACGCGTTCGCCGGCGAACGCGGTGTGCCCTAGTGTTCTGTACTAGAGTAGTGTCTGAGTGTGTGGAGAAGGGTACGTTGCAGTTTGCACTATTTAAATTCCCAGTCGTAGCACATAGTCTGGATTTGTGCCCAGTGTATAACAAAATGCTCAACCCCCATTACACGGACGGTATAACATAACTAAGGACTAGTAGGAATACTACATACCTCTGCCTACTCCTTCGGGG